TAACAGTACTGTCGTTTTTATTAATCCATTTTTTTAATATGTTTCAAGGATGTGCTGCCTTTTTTTCAAAATCTTGTTTTTAAAGACCAATTGTCATACTGGATACGTTCTTCGAGTGAGACGTACTAAAACATGGGGACAAACGGGGTAATTGGCGTAAGAAATCATGAGCTTTCATTGAGCCCAATGTGCCAGTCGAATGTTATTAATAAAAGGTCTTCCATCCTAATATTACAAAGTCTTTGTATTGTAGCCCCAGCTCGAAGAGCTCGAACAGTCGCCTCGACACGAGGTCGAGGCGGAACCCGCACCGCTCGCAGACAAGGGCGAGCGAGGAGTAGCAGTCGAGGGTTGGGGCGAGGGAGCAGCACTAGAGTTCGATCGAGTTCAACCACAACTGGAAGGAAAAGGAAGCGTAAAAAGAAGAGGAACAAGAGTAAAAAGAGGACGGGCACATCGAGTACAAGAAAAGGAAAGAAATCATCCACAAAAACAACATTGAAGGGAAGAAAGCGGCGTCGAGTATGCGAGGAAGACGAAGTATCGCCCTTTATCTACGAACCTGTTAGGCGTGGAAGAACAGTTCATGCCCGACTGTTGGAAAGTTTGAGTGCAGCGGGTCCTTCCGGCGCTGAGCCTGGCCGCTCAGCGTCTCTTGGTAGAGCACCTTTTCCTAACAGAGTCGAACCTAGTTCGAGTTTTTCGTTATTTGGGAATGCTTTTGCCCTGTATGATTTCGACGATCAAGATGAGGACATACCCGAGACAGTTCACACTGAGGGTCAGGGTAAAGTTTTGAGGTAAGGTACTATGCAAGAATTAAAACAGGTGTTATCAATTGTGTTTCCCTCAGCGATCGCATACTCGGCAAACTGAACCAAGGAGAATCAGCGGCAAGCTAGACCTTACACTAGGGTCATACACGCTGTATATGATATAAAGCGTCCTAATTTAGTTTGTTTGGTTCAAAGCTCGGCGCCAACTAACCCAGATGTCCTGGGATCTATATTTCAAGACTTGGATTCCTTGCACAGTCCCGGCGTGCAAGTCGCGCGTGGCGGGAAATTGGTGCAGTCCACTGACCAGTCTTCGACTAAGCATGTCAAGAATAGAGATGCACAGTCAGTACGCAGCATGGACGAAATCAAGAATGAAAGTAATTTGGAGACCAGATGTGGAGACCAGAGGTGGAAACCAGAAGTGAAAGAGAAAAATTTAGATGACGAGGACAAAAAGACAAAAACTACGGATAGTACCAAGCATTCATCTGGCGACAAACAAGGAGAAAAGCAGGGCTCGAGGATCGAGACCATTTCTGTTAAACTTTCTTCTTCCAAGTCATCAGAGGAAAATTATACTGGTGCATGTAGGAAACTGTCAAATGCAGGAGAAATTCAAAATAGCTCTCTTGCGTCGTCAACTTCTTTAAAAAAAAGTTCTCCCCCTCTAACTTCCCCCTCTTTAAAACCGATGCTCTCTGGTTTCAGAATTCCAAAACGGAGCTCAATTTCAGAAGATAAACCGAATCAAACGCCACCAAGTTTTCATGGTAACTCGTCAAGCGTTAATCAGGTACGAAGCCAAAATTTTGCCGTCATTTCCAACTTTAAAATACCAAAAAGGAAAAACTTATCTTTTGATGGAACTCCAACAGGAACCTCTTTCAATACTGTTAGCAGTAAGCCTGTCAAATCCGTGGGCCAGATGGTAGCGACGCGTTCTTCAAGTATTGTTAAACCAAGAGATACGTCATTGTATCGCTTATCTCTAGACAAAGTTGTCTCTCAGTCATGTCCAAAATCTAATGCTATAGAAAGTTCCCGCATTCAATTTAACAGCGTAAGGCCTCTCCTGCGAGAGCACATAACGAGGCAAGATTCACGGAGTGAGTCAACATCTGTACCATTGGTGACTAGCGTGACTGGTATGACAAAATATCATGCAAATAATGTCACTGGCGTTACGTATAAACACACAGCCAGCTCAAGAACCACAGCACCTTGTGTAACGAGTTCAAGTAATACCGCTGCATGTCAGACAAAGTTTGCTGGCGCAGCTCACAGTCATGATAAAACCACGAACATATCGTGGCCTTTGAGCAAGACAGTTCCTATAATCGACCAACCAGCAACAGAGAAAGAGCAGCGGCGTAGCAATATCGAAATAATAAGAATGTTGAATGAAAAGCAAAGGAGCATAAGGGAGCAGATGTTTGGTGATCGTAAATGCACGTCCGTTTCTGGTGACTTGGAAAATGCGCATGCGTTACGACAAAAGGGACTTCATGTTTCTGAAAAGTCACCAAAACGTGGGATTGTGTTACCGATTGCTGTGGTCAAACCATCTCCTCACGCCCCAAATGTCCTAAGAAGCAGCTCAAGTTCCGTACGCTCTAACAATTCAGAAAACTCACCAGTGAAAAGTATTGCCAGTGGAATTATAGATGCACACAGCGGTAATACTGAGGAGTTAAAAAAAGTGTACTCAGAATTTGATTCACCCACCTCTCTTGGATGTGAAATTAGCGGCTCCAGCGTCGGACATGAAGCGGGGGCCTTAAAACGCGACAGGGAGGCAGTGACAGGAGTTCAAAGTGACAGAGAGCAGCAAAGAAAACTGGTAAGGCTAAATAACAAATTATGATGTTATGCAAATTTGTCTGCTATCTTGAAGAATACTTGTGTGTTAAGGGCAGTTTTTGCGAGAGCATAAACACTTCTCTAGCGCCACTGTCAATCATTCAGTCTTTGGAAATATTATTGAAAGGTGTTTTGCACCCACGGGAGGAAAAATACCCACAATACCTTGCTTCAGCCGAACGTGCCTGTAAGTAGGATCTGATCAATATCTGGGCAACCTATGGTTTGCACGCACACACTTTAGGTACTTAGTATCCTTCCTAGAGAAGAAGCAATTCTTCCCATCACTCCTTGAAGCAATTTTCATTTCAGTGTCTAAAGTATTCCGGGTTGCATTGGTTTTGTTTTACAACGATCTGCGATTGATCTAGCTCGGTAAACTAATAACATTTAAAGCTAAAGCCAATCCTGATCTGGTTACTTTCGTTTTCCCGCGCTTGTGGTAGTAAACGTGTCATTACTCCAGACATCTTATTGGCTCCTTGTGTAAATTTCCCTCTTTTCTTACTGGCTGTTGCTAAGGACAGTTCATCGATGTGCGATCTCGCGATATGAAAATCAGTTGGTACGTGCACTGCAACGCTTAAGAAGTTAATTGCTTAAAAGTTTCCGCTTGTTTTGTGAGATTTTCCTTACCTCTTTTATTTTCCAGGGAATAGCACGACTCCAACGGCATGAGCAAATAGTCGATGAAGTTAAACTGGCACTGAAGCCATTCTTTAGACATGGAGAGATCACAAAAGATGACTACAAAGTTATCATGAGAAAGAGTGTGGAAAAGGTTTGTTTGAGAGAATTCTTTCAGAGTAGAACATGTTACTATCCTGAGAAGCAGTCACTAAACAGAGGTGAAACTTCATACACGCTACGACAGTCGGGGTCAAGAAAACTTGAAAAATTTTGGGCGGCTATATCTTCCTTCATTTTTTGGCCTTTTTTTAATTCGTCTTTTTGGCGCACCTCTAAGTATCCTTTGCTATTCACCTCCGAACAACTCGCGCAGCATTTGCACTCGAAATGTTTGTGGTCGTTGTAGGAATAAATTAGTTAAAATCATCTTTTCGTGATACTCGAGGCTCGGTAATATTCACCTCTAGCCACCTCCACTTAGTTTAATAGTTGTTACTGATCGTAAGGGCTTTTTAAGGGCTAAAAATTTTGTTTGCTTAAACACGATTTTTTTTCCTTCTTCAGGTTAAAGAATCAAGTAGCAGTGTGGACAGGGAAAGAGTTTGCAGACTTGTAAAGAAATACATCAAAAAAGTCAAGGGAGATAAACTTGCACCGTAAATTTAAGGGAAACAATGGAACTAATAATGTGATTGTTATCAAAAGTGATAGAAAAGGTTAATTTGTTCGGTTGACTGTTGCGAGAATATTTCAAAATATCCTCTAAGTTTTGTACAGGTTTATGCAATTGGTGTATTTTATCGTACCTGTTTCAAACCTATTTTGAGATTTAAAAGAGTTTAAGTGGGAAGGGCTTACACACTTGATTCTTATTGCTATTGTTATGTTTGTTTTACAACCTACCCAAGGAGCTACATTTTACACGTTAAGTGCGACCAGGGAGATCTTTGAAATGATAAGAAGGAAAAATAAAAGATGCACTATCACGTTGTTAGAGGAAGGCTTTGCTATTTTACTTGCCCCTTACTTGGTTACATCAGGTAGCTACATTTTATACCTTTTTGCTCCTGGGTTTTCCTGAGCAAATGGAACTGTAGATGAAAACCAATCGCTTAGCTCAATTGCGATCAGCGATGTGTTGAGGCATCTGGTCGAATGATAAAGATGCCAACATATTTATGTGATATATTGTATAATGGATACATCACGATGAAAAATGTGGTCTGTTGTTCATTCATTGGAGATTTACGGTTGCACATTACATTAATGAGGTAGTACCAAGTATCGATATTCGCTCAAATTTCTTTTTCCAAAGCTTTATGTCATGTGAGAAAATCGGAGACCAACAATACGAACTATTATGTTCACTAATTAATATCGAAAGGCTTTTCCTGGAACGATGCTTCCCTGACCATCAATTTTTGCTAAAACGCTTGCGGAGCTGGTCGCTTTGTTATTAGTGTAATCATAGTGACGAAGGATTCATGACTGAAGGAATGGCTGACAACAAACCGTTGATTATGTGAGTAATCATCGTGTCCGTCTTGAAGGTATCCTTTTTAAGTTTTCGATAGTAATTATAAACTGATGACGCAGTAATACAGTCTATTAACTAACAATTAATTTTATTCGCCTCTTTTAGGGCAACATGGAAGCTATCGATAAGATTACATCACGTTAAAATTTCTTCTACAACACATTCGCTCCACTAAACACTATTGGTGTTAAGAAAACAAATATGTTCTGCTCTAATTTTTTACATACTCTCTTGATGTTAGTATTGAACAAGTTATTAACTGCACAAACTACTGTTTTTTTCAAAAGCAAAAGTAGCACCATTTTGCTTAGATTTTTCTACTTACTCTAAGAACGGCTTTCAAACATAAAATAAACCGGTTAAACTGCTATCACCCGATCACCACACAGAGCACTTCTGTCTCGGGTTCATTTCCTTTCCTTTTTTGCAGCTGTAAGCGTCTGCAAACGTTTTGAAGTTGGATAGTGGACCAATTACCCTGTTGACAAGAGTACAATTTTTGAACGAGCTTCATATGAATTGGTAGTTTGGAAAATATTTGGACCATCCCCTAGTCAAGTCATCTAAGCCCGAAAATTTCGCCTTGAAACAGTTTTTCTTGAAAACTCTGATCTCAAAATGCTGTCTGACTATTGGACAAGAGGCAAAATTTAGGGAAGAAATTTCGGCGCACGCGGTTTAAGGAAAATCTTTTATCACAATAGGAGGCAAACGAGGCTGATGATCTATTTAGAAACAAAAAAGGCTGTAACAACTGTGTTTTCATGTCTTAACCCACTACATAACTATCATACAGACTTATTGGTGATTATATCTATTTTTCCCGGCTATCTAAGACTGGCGCGTCAGAATTGGCCTGATAAATAGGAGAACTGATTACAATTTACCTGTACTTTGGAAACGAGTGTACGTCAGACTCCACTTGGAAAAGAGCTGCTTCTTTCTTGTATACGCTACACCAAGGCTAAAGTGAAAAGTATAGAGAGGGTAATTCATCGATGAAGATCGAGAGGTAAACTATCTTTTATTTTCTTAAGATCTCGTCCTTAAGAGGATAAAAGCAAAGGGAGTTAAGTACGAATTAAAAGAAAATTAGCCACACCATTCTATTTGAACCAGTCTCCTCTTGCACCACTTTTTTCGCGTCGCACTAACCAAACTATAGCACGTGTTGAGGGTTAAACAGAGTGCTCGCTCGTAAAGAAACTGAGACGATTTGCAGCTTTTCATATGCACACAGTACAACGAACAAGGAATATCCCAGCCCTTTCTTGAAAAAGTGGCCTGTTAAAATGTTTCATTCTTTAAATTCCAGAGCCGAGGTTAGTTGTGTTTCCTTTGAGTTGTCGTTGGCCTCTTGTGATTATTTCAGTTTCACAACAAGACAATCGAGAACTATTTACCGTAGCAAATCCTATGAAAAACAGTTGATCCACACTCAAACCCAAGTCAGGCAGTTGTCCTTCTTTTTTATTGTCTTTAACCCACGACTCATATGCCTGGGAATAAAATGAAATAAGATGTCTGAGTTTCGCAATGCACTAAAAAGTAAAAACTGTTTTAAATACAACTTAAAAATACAACCGTTGAGAGAGAGGGAAGGTTATCACTGACGTTTGTATAAAAAATTAAGACATAAACCCGACTAATGAGCTAGCTAACTAATTATGTTATCTTAAAAAATCGTGTAGGTAGTAACCACATGGTACCAATGAAGTGCGACCCTGCGAAAGTAAGCCCTTGTCTGGAAAAAACGTTTACCGCCAATGGGAATTTAACTTACGTTCTCTTACATCACTTACATGACGAACTGTATTGTCCGCTGATGATGCATACTGCATGTTTACCACAAGCCTTCAGTACAGACGTTCTAAAGTTCGTCAGGCAATCACTCGTTCCTACGTGGAGGAGGAATGATAACGTGACGGGCCTAGGAACGTAAGCACTTGAGGCTAGCGCAGTACAGGCATAAAGAAAAAACAAGGATACACACACAAAAAAAGAACAAACAAGCAAACAGTTTGTGTGAAGCGTACATCATAAGCAAGCTTTATTCCACCATTGTCAGCAATGTTCTCATTCAAAGTCTGTTTACCATCTATCTGTAAAAAAAAATTTAAAACAAAACGATTTTAACATTTGACTTTATGATAACAGTATCTCCATTTCTATTTTAGCATTTCTACTACGTTTATTTTTAACAAAGGAAACTAAAATGTTTAAATGCTTGGTTATCCCCCACATAATGCGTTTTTCCCCTTTTTTAACAGTCTTTCGGCTTCTGTGAGGAGTAAATGTACTACAGTAACCACACTAAGTTGGTTTCTCTAACTTTCTGGGAAGTCTACCAATCAACTAAGCAAATAAAAGAGAACAAGGTCAGGTCTTATTTGGAGTAAATCCCTTTTTCAAGAACCTGAAAATATGTATTATTCAATTTGAAAGAATCTGGCCGAGGATTCAATTCGGTAGGAATTCAAAATGATAACTCTAAAAAACCTTTTGACATATGAATGGCAACGCGCAGGTAAAGGAGGCGAATCATATTCATATTCTTGGTGTTCACATAGACAGCAAGCTTTCCTTCACATTACTAAATCACTTTCCTTTCCATATCACTAAGAAATGTGGATTTTTATTTAGCCAGATTTAATAGTGTATATTACGAGAAACATTCTTTAAGGTACTTTAGGCCATATATATGGTCGAGATTGAACAGCAAAATCAAGGACAAACCTTCCTTACAATCCCTCAAGTCCAACATACCGGATATTCATCTTGCATATCTTATAAGTGACAATTGAGGCTCCTGTCTTATTTGTAGTTCTTGAGAATTTTAAGAAATATCTTTAGCACTTTCTGTATATTTTAGTGGGGATAACTCCGTAATTTTTAACATTTAAATTTTATTTTTTATAAATTTTAGATTTGAGTGATAAACTCATTTTACAATTGAATTATTTTGTTGTCCCCTATTAGCTTTTTAAGCTAGAGACATGGACACTTAGATAAAGTGTTATGTTCAAAAACCACATATCAGCCACGCGACCTTGATGCCAAAATTGGAGCTCTAAGAAGTCTAAAAGAGTTGGTGCTAACTGATATTGCACTTATGCTGTACACGGCTTATTTACTATCACACTTTGAATACTGCCGTCCACTTCCATCAGAGATTGTAAGACTTTGATCCTTAAACTCGACTCAGCTAACTGCTACACGATAAAAGCCCTCCTAAACTTAGATAACAGCTAAGATTATGATTCTATATTATACGTTGCTAATATATATTCTCCAGAGTAAAGAAGGTACGATCAATCTCTCATCTAATTCTTAAGATGTATAAAGGAAAATGTGTCTGATTACATCTCTAATCTTTTCGAGCTGGTAAGATCCGTTATAATTTAAGGACTAGTGGTAATAATCTTGTTCAACCCATCTATCATTATAGGTATTATAATAACTCATTTACTCACTAGATATCGGATTTGTGGAATCACCTTCCGTCACATATTTAGCAATCAGCAAACTTGAGTGACTTTCGCAAGAAGTCGAGGACATTTTTTAATTCGAACTTTAAGGTCAACTGCAAATGTAACTACTTTTTATCTCAGATATGTTAAATTGTTTAAGACTGATATTATAACAAGTATTTTTTTAAGTTTCGTTTTTTTTCTTTTATTTTATGCTTTTTTTTTCTTTTGCTAACTGTAATGAGTCCTAAACATAAGCTTCGGGATCGAATTCACAGGAAAACCTGATCTCACGCAGTAACATTTATAACTTGATTGATTGATTCCTAAATTTTTAACTGTAGCTGAATTTCTGTTGAATCTGACTTACATATGTCCCAAACACGTCATAGTTGTTGTACTGATTCACCAAACATTCGGCTTTGCTTTCAAAACTGTAAGTCGAAGACAATGACCACCAATTTTTCACGTTGCCATTCTTATCATAAAGCCGCCCTGTGGAGGAACAAAGAAATCAATCAAAACAGTCCTCAAACTTCCGCATCGATGTCAGTGTGGGCGACTCTGCGTACCTACCCCTTCCCCATCCAGCATTACCCCAAATTGCAATCAGTTTAACGTTGTTGGGGAGGGGTAGGTGAGAAGCTGCTCAGATACTGACATTGACCCAAACTTACTAAGCAACTTGGTTATGTCCTGATTTCCATCTTCGATCCAGCGCTATCTTGTTCATACAAGACTCTTCCTACCTATGCAAGTATTTGATATGTAAAGCTTGATTCCTCTTTCGTTGAAGTAATTTATCTCTTTTTGTTTTGATACTGTTACCAGTGTTATTGTTACTGTTGTTTCTACCTTGGCTGTCAAATCCATGGGTGATCTCATGTCCAATGACCATTGCTAATGACCCGTAATCAATATACCTGCAAAAAATACGTCTCTAAACGCTTAGACAAGCTACATAATTTCTGAGGCATACTTTTTTTTAAGAATATAAAATATTCCCCTTATTGTGTCTCATATAATGCATGACTTGCAAATAAAAGATTATTCTATTCTGCGGACATTTATTGCAGCTAGAATAATGTCTTCACCAGTAAAAAATGCAGCTCGCCTGAGACGCTTTTCTCATTATTCATTGACAGTTCATTTACTCTAAAAAAACTGGAGCGTTCGATCTTTCGGAACATAAGCCTAAATATATTATTAGCTGCTTACTTTGGGTAATTCTTTCTGTAAAATGGAGATTGTAGAATTCCAGCCAAAAACACTACGAAGAAAAAACAAAAAAACGATTAATTATCTTGAGATCCTAAGTCCTTGTTATGTAATATCTCACGGTGGAGACCAGTCCATCAAAAGAGTGAGGGTCTACTTCCAGCTAAAACGCGAGTGGTGCTCTGTGTTATGATCCAGTTATTAATAACCAATTAGACCTTACACTGAGATTGCAAAGGTCTGGCCACTTTTCTAGCTACTCGGCTTGAAAAAGGGTTAAAGGGATTTGCACTTGCGAGTGGAAAGAAATTCGGAATTGAATTGGTTCTGCTTCACTATGCTCTATTATTGGTCCAGAAAATTCGCACCACCTCAACCAATTAAAATCAAAACTGGAGTTATCAGGACTTTGTCATTCGCGTTTTACCGCGCTTCAGGTAGTTTGCTTGTTTCTACTTTGAGTTCTATAATATTTTTAAGACACCTCATCGAAAATCGCTCTAAGGGTAACTCACCTATCCGGTTTTGCTGTGGACTGTAATATCCATTTACTTGTGCAGGACTTTGCATCCACCTGGAGAGAGAGCGGAAAAGGGTGAGTAACCGAGGCAGGGAGTTAAAGAACATACAGTTGCGCTCTCCTGACCATCTGCGACTTTTCACGCTACTTACATGAACCACCTCAGTAAAAAAACTTTATCTAATACGTGTTTTCAACAGTGAGAGGTAAGCTTTGTGGACTGTGCTAAAACTAACAATTTTCAAAGAAATTTACAATCAAAACCTGATTCCTAAGCATTCCTGGACAATTCAAATATTTATAAGCTAAGCAGTCATACTGTTAAGAACGTGGGCTCCGTTACACTTACATGTCCTTGTCGACTGGTTTTCCAAGAAGATCAAAATTCTTTTGTACGACCATATACTTCATTGACACGGTGTTTTCAAAATAATCATCTCCTGCATCCAGCTAAATATTTGGCAAAAAATATATCTATTTTAGTAAACAGCACACCAGTGCCCAGACTAGTGCCCAGTGTTATTCCAACGCTACACGCAAGTACAACCAGAAATGATTTTCCCACATTTGTGCCTCTGAGGAATTTCGTCGAAAGTAATCCAGCAATTCAATAAATTTGTCCATCTGTGCGCTGTGATAAATTCCTTCTTTGACTAACATTGATTTATTATCGTGATCTTGTTCAAGACATTATTAACTCCAACCAGCTCTTTTCAGTACTCACCAGTGAGTACTGCTCGTCGAGTTTTTTGTCGTCTTTGATGAAAGGGGGGTAGCCGATGTCCTCTTGGATTGCTTTCGCCTTCGATAAAGAAATATAAAAAGTACATTTAGAGGGAGAGTTTCAAGTTTATGAGTTCGTTCGGCGAAGCTGCTTCAATTTAATAGTTTCAAGAGCCATCAAAAGTACGAGCTGGTGATTCTCGTGGAAAGTTTACCCAAGCAAAAACTTCGTTGCATGGTAAAAAACAATCTATTTAACAGAGCGCGCAAATAATACGTACAGCTTTCTTATCTGTCAGTGTTCAAATCGTATGGCTAACAATCACGTTAGAAAATTTTGGGTAAAATTTTGAGTAAAATTTGATATTAAGTACGTAAGCATACCTTTCCTTTAGCCGATTGTTTTGTACTGTCATCCATCCAGTCTGCGTCATCCAGATTATCAATAAAACTTTGGCGGAGACGAGTAGTCATGTCCTTCACCTGGTAATAGAAAAATGAATTAAGTATACATTTTAAGTCTCCTCAATAATATTTAAGGCTATAATGCCACCATCAAATTCCGCTCTTCTCTCGATGAAAAAAGAACGTTAAATAAGCTTTGTCGCAAGTGAATGTGGCGTGTATAAATCGATAAACAGATAAACAAATCAATAAATAAATAAATTGACAAATGAACGGTTCGTTTCAGAGTCTGACCTTGCTGCATTACATGACAGAGGAAACAAATAACAACAAAACCATGGCAAAACAGAAGGAATTACGACGAGTCGCCTATCTCTCTAATTTAGCGAGAAAATTAATATTTTCCTCTGTGGCGAGTTTCGGAGTTAAAAACAATTTGTCATCATTAATGTAAGCGCTCTACTCACGCGTAACATGATGCGCACCGAGAATGCGCCGTGAAATACCACAGTGTGACCCTAAGATTTGATATTTTTTTAAAGGAAAGACATTCAACCATCTTACCGTTGTTTTAGTACTTTCGTCAAAATTCGCGTCGACGTACAAACGCCCTAAAGTGAAGCCCACTGGCGATATCATGGTTTCCAGACATTCAGACCATCTTTCGTATGCTACCAGTCCTCTCACTGCTCGCGCGTATTTTAGTTTCGCTTGCACAAACTTGTCAGGCATTGACATCACATAGTTGTCAATCACACGCCACATGATGTAATCCTTGACGGTTTGTTTGTCTCTGCAGTTGGAGAAAACCAACAAAGATCTTTTAGGGGGACAGAAATTATTTATCGCCTAGGGAGTGCGATAAATAAGGTTCTAAATAAATAAGGTCGAGGTCTGATTGGCCCAGCCTTCTCTTACTTTTTTACTCGGCTGCTACTGGGGCGCCGTTTGCCATTTCGATCCGTTTTTCTACCTGAACGCCTGCAACAGGCTATTAAGCACCATATTAAAGCTATCGAGCTTAAAAAAGATTCTCTTGAACCTGTAAAACTCACGTTTGATGGTATTGTTTTGCCATCGCTTTGAATACTTTTGTATAAACTTCTGCTTGTGGATAATAGATATTATCGTTCAAACTGAAATATTTTCCCTGCTTATAAAATGCCGCGTCCAGAAATGTTGTCACGAACATTGTCTGTCAGAGAAAGAGAAGGAGAGTTAGTAAGCTAAGCAAAGGAAATAACTTCAGTAACAGTTGAAAGACCCCTTTTCATTTTCATTCAGACACACAGTAATTGTACCCTATGGCAAAATGGCACAAGTACCATTTCAAGTCAAGGCCATTAGTACCATTGGAGAAGTTACCTTGACGATTCGATTGAGGCCTTGACTTTGGAATTCCCTGACGATGCAGTGGATCGATGCCGTAGTTATAACGCTGACAAGGGCATCGTTATGTTTCAGAGAATCGTCCGAGAGCGCCAATTTGAGAAATGAGGCACACCTTAAGTTAAAGAAGTCTAGTGCCACAGGAAGTGATTTTCTTCTTGCTGATTTATACAATAACTCACGATAGAAAGCGATATCATAAATTTGAAACAAATTTAGCTGTGATTTCTACCTCCACCATCCCAATATAGGTATAGTTATGTCATGTTCGCCAGGTTTACTCACATCAAAATCTGAGGCAAACCAGAAGTCTTCAATTGTCTTGTCCAATTCGTCTAAGGATCGCCCAGATCTGTGATGCTCCATAAGAGATTCTATTATATCTTCAGACACTGTGTCGGGATCCACTGACTGAAAAAATATTTAAAAGAAAACGATTACAATTGACGGTTTTCTTTTGTTACCAACAAGATAAAGAAACTAATCGTTCCCCTGATCGAAATAGAACCTGCCCGGCTGAAATCGTCACACATTGTTATCTGCAATTAAGACAATAACACACCTCAGCAATGCTCCTCTCAAAATCATATATAGCATCCATCTTGTAATCTGAAGAAGGCCCTCCTCCAAGCAGCTTGGCAATAGTTTTCATGTAAGTCTTGTACGCCGTGCGGACCTGTAAATGGAGTATTTAAATGCTCAATAGTTATGTTTGCTTACACATGGCTAACCATAACGGTAAAGTAACACAACAGGGAATCAAGGAAAAGAATAAATAGAAGCCACAATTTTGGATCTTTATTAGCACACGCAAGAGAAGAACTGGCCTGTAGCGCACGATTTTATGACTTCACAACCCTTTTTAACGTGATGAACTCCAAACGGAAACTTTAACTTTGAAAATTAGTTTATTCTATTTATTTCGCCATTCTGATGAAAAATGATAAATTCAATTTCAATTTTTTTTTTTTTGCTTTTGTTATCATGGTTCATCCGTCACCATGTTAATGCGGAACACTCGACGACTATTGAGGTTTTTGAAAAATTAGACGGCAAATAAATGGACTCGCTGGCTGCAGACTACGAGGCGTAGTAGAGTATATTATTGTAAGGACCGGAGTGTTTATCGGGAACTAAAACCCTCATATAATCAATACGACCACTACATCCGTGAACCGAGCGGCGTACTTTTCGCTGTGCTCTCCAGTTAGATATTGTTCTTTTCACTCGCGCATAAAATTTAAATCTTATCGCCGTCGTGTAACATCCTTTATTTAATTGAAATTCTTTTACACTCTTCAGTTATAAGGTACATATAGTTTCCTAATTATTGAATCTCTTAAAGAGTTATTCTGGTATTACACCTTCAATGACCCCCTTCAAAATTTACAACAAATTTCGCTTTCATACGTAAGTCCCAAAAACTACAAATGAACCAGTCCTCAGACAGAAAATGCCCTTCGAACCGAGCCTTGTAAGGGCCAGAGGAAAACAGTCTCTATATATACCAACCTTTACGCTGCTGTCTTTCTGGTCAAAATAGTACTGAAAACCCATCCCTAATGAGGCAATATTGAGCTAAACGAAAAAAAATTGATCGAGTTAGTGATTTCCGTACAAAGTAATACCGTTTAAGTGCTTAAAACTTATACGACCTCATTTGTCGCAAGTAGCCACTACCAATGTGCGCCACAGTGTGGTTCAATCATCGACTTCTCGCCGGGAACTCCCGTTAGCCATATCCAAGGAAAAATCGGAAATTTCATACAAAAAATTGAAATTCTAATGGACGGATTCGGAAATGTTGACGTAATAAGTCATATGTTTTTAAAACCTAGCCAACTTCAGATTCTGTACTTCACATGAGCCAAATTAACCCAAATTGATCTATAACGGTTGAATTGATCCGGCTAAACTTGATTTACAGTTAGTGTCATCAATATTCATCAAAATAATCGATGCATTTGGTCCAGATCGTGAAATGTTGGGTGTATAAATAACAGCCGGCGAGTTAAACTGTTCACCCTTACTGAGCTAGACGCCGCACTACAAACGCGAAGAACGAGTGGGTCAATCCGAACTCATTCGGCCACTGCGAAATGAGTTCGATCGTGATTCAGTGGACTCAATGTGGCTCATGCAAAAAAAAAAGGCGTCTGAACTGGACCTGACGGTCCCATGTCAATGATGTGTGTATCAATTTTGGAAACAGTCCGCATAATAAAAAAAAAAGCCTTTGTATGATAACTGGTGTGGGAAAATACCATCGTAATACTTACATTAAGAATATGTTTACTGGAATCCTCTAAGTCTGTTCCTACAGTGACCTGCAGCAGTGTCTGAACGTTCAAGTCTCTCAAGACTCGCCCCATTTTTTCTTCCACTGACCATGAATTAAATCCATTTCCAGACACTGACCAGCCACCATAATCCTCTATCATTTTTTTTAAAGGCGAATTTCCACGACTCTCAATGGCAGATGTGTTTAAGCAGGAATTATAAATCTTGACGGTTTTCAAAATGGAGGAGCTCTGGAAAGAATCACGGACAAAAGGAAAATTAGATTACGAAATGTACTTTTCAGGCAGTTAATGGCAGAAAAATTTCCACAGTCCCCCTTATATACTCTGTTGGCGATAACTGATCCCCCTTTCCATTTCTTCTGAAAACTTGTGATCTCTACCAAAATCCTCCAATCCCGCCCCATTCTCCCCTCTCCAGGCGAAATATAATGACTAATCCTTGACGAAACCGAAGGGTATTTGAAAGATAGGCGTCCTTAAGCGAACATCCAAGTGACTGTTACCACTATTCACTAATTCTTTCTGCTCTGAGGTTAACTGAAATGAAATATTCCGAACCAAGAAGTGCCTTCAATTTTTGGATCAATGTCAGTATCTGAGCAATTACACACCTCCCCTCCCTTTCCCCAACATCAACCCTAACTTATTATCAATTGACTAATGTTGGATTAGGGGAGGGGCTGGTGCGTAGTTGCTCAGATACTGACATTGATCCTTATTTTTAAGGGTGAAAAGTTTACGTAGAGTGAAGTGCTACAAAAATAATTGACCGTTGTTAATTAAATGAAGAAACCGTATGTCTAACCTGGTTGTATTTGGTGGTGGCATTCACCATCGCTTGTTGTAAAACTTTCATGTTATCGTCGTTAACGATTGTAAAGCCGCCTACGGAACTCTGATTTCCCTTAAGCTGGTGCGTTTTGATAAATCCTCCACAAGCGTATGCATAAAAATCATCGCATGGATCTTTACTTGTGTCGATCTGATTGGAGATAACTTTATAAAAGGAAACAGTATTGATGACTGAGCATAAAGACAGGTTTAAGTGTCCAATAGGGACAAGTACGGATAGTGCATGGGCAAAAGGCATTTCTCGTCTTCAGTTTGCAAGTCAAATTGAGATCAGACTCGTCAGTTTTTTTGTAGGGAGGAAAACTGAAGAGGCCGGAGGAAAAATCCCGGGGCTGGGAGGAGAAAAAGAGAAAAATCTCTCCCTTATGTGTGGCTGGGAGGATTGAAGTGAGCCCCGCCCACAGCGCTGCGAAGCAATTGTTGTTGACAGTGCAAGATTACCGCATCCCCTACAGGGAGGCAGCTTGTCGATTGACGTTATCAATTCTGCTTCTATTCGCTTTTTATGGCATTTATGTCGCACCGACCTTTAGAGATTTTGTAACATTCCTCTGTCTTGCAAATGAGTGGCCCTACAGAAAAAAAAAGAAAGAAAAAAGGAAAGAAAGAAAGGGATAAGAAAATTCAGAATACCATGAACGGCGGAACAAAACAAATTCAACCCGAGCGAGGGGAAGGACAACACGTTTTTAAGTCTCATCACGCAAAACGTTGCGAAACCAAACCACGGCTTCTAAAAGGCAAGTTACTTTTGAAAAGCAAGTGACAAGTGTATGAGCATGCGCAGGAAAGAGGCAACCACTTTCAACGATGTGAATACCACGTCTGAGAAAAGTTCGAAGCGATGGAAACACGAATACGTGTTGTGTTTGATAATTCATTTCCGCTAATGAAATGGAGGGTTTCCGTGACAATTCTATTTCCTGAGTATTGTTATTTGGTATTCGGAAAATGTTTCCTATTCCAAAAGCATGACATGATAGACTGAAAACTATTATTTTGTGGTTATTATCAACGGCCAACGTTCATAGTATTAGAGAATGTCTCGTAGGAACCACACTCGCTGAAGCCTTCTGACCGCCTCGCAGTCGTTTATTGCTTTGTCACGCAACGGATATCCCAAAGAAAGGATAATTTGGAAGGATATGCAAATAACAATTCCACTCAAGTAAAGGTGGCTGTGAATGAAAAGCTGAGTCTTCCTTTCTTTCAAAAGTTCTCTTGACTATTAAGCAAAAGATAACAGGATAAACGAATAGTTCTGATATGCAAATATTATGAATCGGGAACAGAACACATGTAGCGAGGGTTTATAACCCAGACAAGAGATGACAGAAAGGATTGTCGAATAGGCACATCAGAAAGTCTACGAGCATAAAACGATTCGCCAATATATGCAGGTGTCTTGTCTAATTTTCTTGACTTAATTAATTGACCTGAGGGTTTAAGCACAAAGAAAATGAGTTTAGGTTCACGTCAAAGGAACTTAACCAAACTACATCTTTCACTTTCTCTTTGCATTGCCAAAAGTACCCTGTAGATAAACACAATCGTTTCACAATCAGTGTTATTTTTCGTTGATGAAGCATCAAACACGGTTGGAGCTCGAGGTTTGGTCAAAGTGGAAATTATGCACAATGTCTGAGACCCTACTACTTCTGCTGAAAATCAATACATCGACTTACGTGATTAATCAATACTATGACAAAGTTCTGTAATTTACGATCTCTATTTAACAAATCATTTGCATAATTCAAGATTTTCATTTCGTTTCGTTTCCTTTCGCAAATTACAGAAAGCCTTACCGACCGAAATCGACTACACTCGATCCTACTAACATTATGTATTATGGGCATTTTCTTCGCACGTGGGAAAGAACAGAGCTTGGCCCGAGCCTCGTGACACATCGAGCTAGCTTTTAAGTCTACTTCATCTCATCGATTAAAATCTGTTTATCGCTACTAGTTCTATGTTTTTTAATGTCCACAGATTTCTATTACTGCCTCTTTTACAAGTTTTTAGATGCTCTAAGCCCCCACACGATACGAGACGAATTCGGAATGTTGGTTGCACAATAAATGATTTATATAAATAACTAAACTTACTCGTAAGCAAGTAAGCAGCTGCAACAATTCCACCGATAACCAAAACCGCCACCACAACAGCTATAATCACCAGTCGAGTCTTTCCACATTTACGCAGGCGGTACCCTATACCAACATTATCATCGACGAGTTCGACCCTGTCATCCGACACTGGGTTTCCCATTCTTCCCATTCTGAACAGCAAAGCGCTTCACGATACTGCTGTTTTTCTTTGGTTAAGTGATAAAGCAGCGAGTCAGCAATCAACAAAACTTCCCGATAACACACGGCGGAATAATTTGCGCTTTCACCTTCTGGCGCAAAGACAACTAATAATTACCACGCGATACGCACCGCCGGAATGTAAGATTAGGAGACAGGAAGTTGAACATGTCAATCATCTATTTCCAAATGGGTAGTCTGTGCCACACGTTCTTCGTCGCAATTCATGCTTCGGTAGTTTGAGCCGCGTTTAAAAAGCTTAAATTGAGTGAATATTTAAAGAAAATAGCCTGCAGGGTAGGCAATACATTATTCATCTTCATGTTTCATTCCAGCATCTTTCAGTTGGATCATTTACGCGACTCAGTCAAGATCTCCCGTATGCTAAAGATGATGAAAACTTTATTTAAAACACGGTAAAAATATCAGTATGACAATAGAAAACAAAGGAGAAATTTATCTTAAGTAAAATTTTCTATTAACTGGTTTACATATTTGCCGTGTGGGAGTCCGATACAGAGAGCCATTTATCAATTCTTCTCTTGAAGTTGCGTAGAGATTTTGTAGTGCGGATATCAGTCCTCAGGAAGATCGTTCCAAAGAGAAGCTCCGCTATAACTGAAGCTACGCTTCAGGTAGTCAGTTCTTGCTTTCGGCAAGTACAATTTTTGACTTGCCTCACGAAGATCAAAGGGCAGAGTTCTCGGAGTGAAAATGTTACAAAGATAATTTGGGGCGAGCTTATTAACGCATTTGTACATGAAATTTGCCTTTTGCTTCGTCCTTCTGACTGATAAGTTATCCCAGCTGAGAGAGTTGAGAAGATAGCTAGAGTTCGTATTATAACTTGATTTAGTAATTACGCTAGCAGCGCGATTTTGTAGTTTTTGTTGTTTCTCACACAGCTGTTGAGACAAGCCATCCCAA